GGGGGGGCAAGGACAGATGGGCCTGAATCTCTGTGGGAAGGAGGGGCAAAGCTTGATTTTACTTTGGACAATTAGCCCCATGTGAACCACTCTAGCGGAGGCCAGTGTCTCCACCCACAACCTGCCACCAGGTGGCGCTGAGGTTTGTTCTTTTATGGGGCCCCACTCATAGTTTAAAATTAAATAAATATCTAGCAAGTAAAGTCAGAAGATCACAGCTAGTTAGCTGGTTAGCAGTACATGCTGCTTCAGCGTCTCCTAGATACGAAACTGGTTTAATTAATATTTATTGTAGTGTCGGTTTGTGGCCAAGAGGGGGCTTCCAGACTCTGGGGCCTCACGCAAATGCATGCTGCATGCTTTGAGGTGGTAACACCGCCACTGGCTGAGGGCCCCAAGGTGGACTGATGAGCACCGGCGCAAAACCACAATTCATTCCATGCAGTTAATCAGCAAAGAAAAAAAAAAACAAGGAATCATTCTGAGCTCGTGCGGAGGGCCCAGCCAAAACAGGAGCGTTCCACACCGCTGCTGTCGGGGCCGCCGCACGTGGGGGCCGCTTTGGAGACGTGGTGTGGGAGGAGGGGGAGGTGGGAGGTGGGAGGGAAAAGGCACCGGGTAAAAAGGAGATGGGAAAAAAAAAGAAAAAGCAGGAGCAGACTACAGAGCGGAGGAAAAAATCAAATGAAACAAAATCAGGCGAACGGAAAGACTGAACAGTCCCAAGATTCTCAGAAATGAGGAAAATTCCAAATAGACACAGTGACCCTGAGCGATGAAGAAAATGTAGCATCAAATCGTGCATTTAAAATGAAGCTTGCAAAGTCCGGCATTGTATAAACACTTTGGCTGCATCGCACATATACTGCTGAGAGTACATGCAGCAATCAGTATATCTGCTATTCAAATTGCATATTAAACATTATTATTATATTATATATTAGTAGCTCTACAAGTAGTGCATTGTACTAGCAATGCAAAGGTTGTGGGCTTAAATCCCCGGAAACAAATGGCAACACTCTGCTGTATGTCACTTTGTGTGAAAGTGTGAGATATGCGACCCGATTTATTTTGTTTTTTTCTGAGACGATATACACTTAGTACCCAGATAAATAGCTTTAAACATTTCCTTTGACTGCCTGTGACTTGTGCGCAGTGCTGGACAGACTATTTCTAATGTCGATCTGCATGCCAAAGGCGCAGAGGACGCAGACTGACCCGCGGTGCTGACCTCCCGTGAGCGCACCAGGTCGCTCTTGTTGCCCACGAGGATGATGGGCGTCTGGGGCTGCGTCTCCCTCAGGAGGAGGCGCAGCTGCGCTATGCGGTGGAAGCTGCGGCGGTCGGTGACGGAGAAGACGAGCAGGCAGACGTCACAGCGCAGGGCCAGCAGGTCCTGGAAGGGGAAGGTCGCACCTTTCACTTACGAAGAGATATATTCCAGTCAGGCTTCATTATTAATTATGATCAAGCAACTCAATCTGCCACAGAGCTTGACAGTTTCCTGCACAATCTTCGAGAACAGATTTATTTTTGTAGTAATTCATTGTGAGATTTTGTCAGCTGGGGTTTCAGCAAAGTGACACCAGCTTACTATCTGGACGCACCATGGATGGAGTCCCACCAGCCATAAGCTGATATATTCCTCACCGTGCCAAGAGCCAGTGTTTTGGTGGCATGCTCCAGTTTTTCTCAACCCTATCCTTGGGGTCCCCCGGACAGTCTGCATTTTGCTCCCTCCCAGCTCCCAGCCAATCACGAACATGGATGTGTCCAAAATCACAAGGGGAAATATGATTTGCAACATTAGACGTATGTCTGAATCCTCAGTGTGGATAAAACAGTAGATGAACGGTACCCAGATGACATATTACATGCTCTTAAATTTGTGTACAAATTGAATTTAACAGTTTATGACTTTTGCGGGGGTCAAGCTACATCATTGGTAAACATCCAGGTCAAGATGGTGACCACAGTGTGTCCGAATGCATGCATACTGCTCTCATGCAGACGTGCAGTACATACTGCATTAATGGTCGAGTAGTAGGCTCCTGATGAAATTCAGTACCTACTGTGTAAGCATGTGATTTTGGACACAAAAGGAATACACCATTTTTGGATGATAAAAGGACAGGAGTGCCAGCGCAGCGACTTCACACGCAAGTCTAAGGTTTGTAAGATTCTAACGGGTCTGGATGCTGTTCAGCCAAATTACTATTTCAATATTAGTCTAAATACTAGAACTCGTGGCCATAAGTGGAAATTAGCGGGAGAACATTTTAAAACAAATTTGAGGAAGCACTTCTTTACACAGCGTGTAGTTAGAGTATGGAATAGTCTTCCTGCTAGTGTAGTGGAAGCTAAAACCATGGGTTCCTTTAAATCAGAGCTAGATAAGATTTTAACGACTCTGAGCTATTAGTTAAGTTCTCCCCAAACGAGCTTGATGGGCTGAATGGCCTCCTCTCGTTTGTAAATTTCTTATGTTCTTAAGTCAGGGCCTGCTCCCCTGCCACTACTAAACCAACACGACTCCATCAGAATCTCCCCCATTCAGCTGCGCTTCGCTCTCATTGGCACTGAAGCACCACAAACACCCCGCACTCTGTCACTCATTCACAGATGCCGTCTCTTTGCATGCACGATTACTCAGACTCTACACTGATCTGCCACTGGGTAGCCAACGAGTCACACGCATCTCCAACTGGCCAAAACATCTCTTGGACAGCATGCGATGCTCTGTCACCACACCAGTCTCCTATTGGCCAGCCTCCAAATGGACAAGGCTACGGTGAGGATTTATTAGTATGCATTGTTTGTTTGCTTATCAGATGCTAAAATCCATGCCTTACTGTTTCACACTAAAGCTCATTTTAACACGCAGCCATTTGCTGATATAATATATGACGATTTCCCTGGAACTGGAACAGGTAGGGTGTCCAGATCCTTAAATATCACACCCCCTGGTGGTTTAATACCAGCCTGTCAGCATGTTTGTTCTGCTTGCCTATTATTGTATTATTGGGTCTGTCAGGCTGTCAGCCGTAGTTGAATTAAGCTAATTAAAATCAAGCGTTCAGCCAGTGAACTCACAGTCATTTAGGAGTGTCCCATTTTTATCGCATTTCCCTAGAATTTCCGCTTTTTGCCTTTTATCGCAGCTGTCCAATTTTTGGTGTGTTTCTGTGGTCAGCTTTCAGGGGAAAGAACAAAGTATTTTCATTGTTCCTTTGTCAATCCTCGCAGGTCAAATCCTTTAGGCATGTGTTTTTGGACTTGAACGGAAGGGATCCATGCAGATTCGGCAAACCTTTCTTCTTGTATTCCTTAGAAATAAGTCCAGTTGGGAATTAACTGGAATAGAAGCATTCATGTGCTGTTTAAATGGGAACTTTTCGATCGTGGGGAAAATCTCAGATGCTTGAACATACACACATACAGGTTTGTAATTATACCTTTGTGGGGACTCTCCATTCGTTTCTATGGGGAAAACTGTAATCCCTACATGACAACCTTAACCCCTACCCATCCCTAACCTTACCCATAAGTAACCAAATAAAATACAAAACTTTTGGCGTTTTTACTTTTTTGATTGCAGTTACAGATTTTTATAAAATTGTGTTTTCCCTTGCATCAACCAAAAAATAGTCCCCACAACATCAAAATAACAAGTTTTTATCACATTGTGGGGACATTTGGTCCCCAAAATGTAAAACATTCATGACCCATACACACACACTCGTACTGAAATGGATCGGTTTTGACCTCACAGCTGCAGATTACTGAGACAATACTGTTTGTTTTTTATCATTGTGCTTTTACACTCTAAAGTCCTCTGTGGAGAATCCAGACAAGGGGATCTAACGAAAAAAGTAATCGATCCAAATTGAAGGCAGCCGAACTAAATTGAAGGGAATTGAATTGAATTGAATTGAAGGTAGTAAATTCGGTCAAACAGCACAGAATGGCAGATAAGAGGGGATTAAAAAGGCGGTTAGGTGCAGATCTAGACGGGCATCGCTGGATGCGAACCGCGGCCTCTCTCGCGAGCCTAACATAAAAGATATGATCTAAGCAAAACGACAGTGAGCCTGGAGATGGGAGGGCTGGGTCGCCATAGAGACCAGTGGCCAAAGTCGACTTCCAGGGAGATGCAGTGGGTATCAAACTATTAATAAATTGTACATGTGACCATGAGGTTCAGTTCTTAGGAGCTTCTGATCCATTCTTTGGTATCATATTTAACACAGAAGATACTCTTCATATTTTTTATTATTATTCCTGCAGCTTTCACTATTATAATTTGAATAGATTTGTTTTTATTTGTCAAAAGAGTAAATCGATAAAGGTTATTCATCATGTAAGGTGGACCCACCTGTCTCCAGTTGTCATAGACGACGATGGCGCTCTCCTGGTCATCCACAGTGACTGTGCGGACATAGCCCTCTCCTAATGGGCAGACAAACCAGTCAATCACTCACGCTCACCAGGTGCAAGCCCCGCCTCTTCAGGAGTCACTGTGATTGATGGTTTTGTACACTCACACAAGCTTATTTATGGTGAACTCAGCAGTCACTGATATAGATGGTCACCTTTGTCAACCGTTCTGCAAGGACAAATGCAAGGGAGCGAGCATGCGAACACGTGCATGTTTACCGTCAGAATCCACCGACGCGCTTTTGTCGAACTCGCCAGCGAGGGCGACGGCGAGCGACGACTTGCCCACGCCGTTTTGCCCCAACAGCGCTATTCGCAAAGGCCTTTCCTCCCTCACGTCTGCTGCCGAAGTAAGGGCGTCGTCTTCAGCGGGGCTGACACTGATTGGAGGAGGCGAAGCCCTGCCCAGTTCTGCTGCCCAATCACACTCCTCATTGACAGCCTCCTCTCTCCTGAGCTGGTGTTTGATTGGTAGAGGGGTACTTCCTCTGCGCAGAGTGGGAGCGCTGGAGAGAGTCATACTGTCACAGCAAATGTGACAAAAACGTGTCATTAAATGGACCTTAGTGTCATACCACGTGGCACCACAAGCATGAGTCAGAGGGTGACTTGAAGCGATGCGGTGCTAAGATGAGGTCATAATACACATGATACAGTCACACCTCCATTATCTGCAAAGCCTTAGTTACATCAATATAAAGGTCAAGAAACATAAAATATGACCAAAATATCCCAATCGAATCCAAACCCAAGTTGTCTATTCCACTGTTTCTGAACCAAGACTTCAGGGACCCCGAACAGTCTACATTTTTGCTCCCTCCCAGCTCTCAGCAAACCTCAGTTGGGTATTCTGTGTTCTTCGTTGTTTCATTTGATCTTGATTGTTTAGAGCTTTCTTGGTTGTTTGGTTGGTTCTTGATTGTTCGGTTCAGTTTCAGTTGTTTTCAGGTGTGCTGGGAGATGGGAGGGAGCGAAAAAATGTACTGTCTGGGGGACTTCGAGGACCGGATTCAGAAACACTGGTCTGCTCCAATAAAGGACATGGGTTTATAAAACTCTACTACTGCTGCATGCATCAGGTGGAAGCGGCAGAATGATGAAGACGGGTTCACTAATAAAAGCCAAAAGGCCCCATATATTTCCCTGAGCCCTGTGGTCGGATTTAAGGTAGTCTGGGCAAAATGTAAGCGAAGGAATATTAAGTTCATTTAAACTGTGGCACCTTAAATCCGACAACTTACCGCGATAAGCCAGTAACCCCGCTTCGTAGTACAGGCCACTGGACTGCTTCCACCAGGCTTTCCTGCTAGGCTAATGCGGCGTGAACCACGTTTCCTCACATCCAGCTAAGTAAAACAACCATAACTGCTTCATAGAGAGAAACCTTGTGGCTATGACCACTCTCCATTATCCTAATAACTTAATAACAACAGTACATAATAGCAATATTTTTACAGTTACTACTATTTTTAGAATGATACACAAAATTGTAAATTTGTAAAAAGTTAATGGTAATATCCATCCATCCACCCATTAATCTTGCCTAACCACTCACCCAGTTACTCATATTTTTCTACACCCAAAGTGTTAAATTACAAAGCCACCCCACCTACTCCCCATCACTGCCCCACGCTCAGTCTGCCTCTGCAGCCGGCAGCTGTCTACCGAGACTTTGTAGCATCTTGCAAAACCAGTCAGGCATCATCCCCACCAGCACGCCGCGTTCATGCTGCCTAGCATCACCGTCCGTATAAACTTCAGCATCTGTGTTCATGTCTTCGGTCATGAAGAGGCCGTTCTGTTTCTGAACATGATCGTTCCTGTCTCTCCCGCATTCACACTCACTATCGGAGTACTGTGGCGTGCACTCTCCTGTCTCTCCCGCATTCACACTCACTATCGGAGTACTGTGGCGTGCACTCACCTGTCTCTCCCGCATTCACACTCACTATCGGAGTACTGTGGCGTGCACTCACCTGTCTCATGACCAGCAATACCAACCGACTGAGCACCCGCACACTTTCTGCTAGCCTCTCACCTCTATCCCTCTCTCTCCCTCTCCCTCTCTCACTGTATCTCTAGATACTCCCTTCTCTGATCTATCTCTCACTCACACTCGCTCTTGCTCTCTCCCTCTCTCTCTCCTCCCCATTTTCCTCTCTCGTTTTTCGCACACAGGCTTTCTCTCCTCTTCTTTTCTCTCTTTCTTTCTAACTCATTTTGCTGCCTACCCCTTTCTGCATATCAATTGTTAAAGTGCAGAACTCCATACCAGATAGATAGATAGATAGATAGATAGATAGATAGATCCAATTTTCCCTTTATTATCTGGAGTAAATGAAGTTGTGATCTTACAGACAGATACTGCATCACTGACAAAGTGGTACCCGACACTGCAGGTCACTAAAATCACCACCAGAGTGCGCCATAGAGCTTTTTAAAGATAATGGTGGTGATTTTCTCAGGGCTCACCTCTGAGCCGCTTGGGGTAATTATATCTGTAATATAGCATACAACTATTATTATTATCACCACTCTTCTTATTATTATCATTACTATGATTGTTGTACTGATGCTTTTCTGATGGATTCTGCTGACAAGGAAACAGCCGAGGACTGGCTCGATTGCTTTTGACAGGATATTATGGCTGACGTCTGTATCGCCTGGTGCGCGCATCGTGGAATCATGCCGCTGATGTGAAATGAAAGAGGGGGCCCAGGTTCACTCGCTTAAAGCGGCTATAAGCTAAACAATGACGGATTTCCCACGCCGACATCTCTGCCCGTGTGCATGAGTATTTATGGCCATGTGAATTCATTACATAAGGCAGCGCCAACAAGAGGATGTTATATGAGCGGTTGTGTAATGGGGAGTGACGGAGTCGGACCCTGGCTGTGGATGAGGGTATTGCACTGGAGTGAGAATATCATGCTGGGTCCATGAGTGTGACTAGGGGCGTGTGGAAGGGTGCAGAGAGCAAGTGACGGCACGGGAAGGACAGTAGCGCCGTATGAAAAGCAGAAAGTACCGGAGCATTTCACTGGCGATGGGCTGTGAGTAGCAGTGAGCATGCAGCCAGTGAACATACATAACGTGGAGGGATGAACATTAACTGTACATGACGATACTGTGTCGTAGGTGGTGATTGGTCCTCTGAGCGTGGATATCGTTGTGGGGAGGGCGGTAACTGACTTCTAGTCATGGGCATTGTTGCCTGGTGGGTGTTTATGGGTTTTAATGACATTGTGTAGTGGCTGGTGATTGGTACGTGGAGTGTGGGTATTCTTTCATGGTGGGGGGTGATTGGTTCTTTGAGCCAGGATATTATTTTTTTTCTGGTTACTAATTGGTTCTTTGAATATTGTTGTGTGGTGAGTAGGGATGGGTTCTCTCTGAAAGGATATTGCAGTGTAGTGGGTGTTCCTCTGTGTGTGGATAACTAATGATGTGATGTGCGGCGACTGTGTGAATAACGTAGCGCGTTTTGTTGCAAAGCGAATGACGACGGTAGTGTGGCTTCTCTCTCTGACGTTGCTCCTCCCTGGCTCTACAGCACCACAGAAGAGACTCCGGCTTGGGGTATCGCCACTCTGTTCCCTCATTAGAGCAGCCGGGGAAAGACCTGAGTTAAGGGGAGGGTGTATCACAGCACTGAAGCCCTGTCACATCGCATTGAACCAGAGAAAGAGAGAAAGCAAATAAGGGAGAGAACGAAAGAAAGAAAGAAATAAAAGAGAATGCATTCCATCCACCCATCCATCCATTTTCTGTCATGTTTGTCCTATTCAGGGTCGTGGGGGGTCTGAAGCTTATCCAGAGGCTACAGGTGCAAGGCAGGGAACAAACCCAGGATGGGGGGTCAACCCATAGCAGGGTACAGTCACACAGGATCCATGTTATGTTTTTGTGCCAAGACGCCTTACTTTTCATACAATAATTCATTTTAATGAGAATAGATTGCTTGCAGTAATTCGTACCCACTTCCCTGACATACTCCACAAAGTACTGGCAGCATTGTGACACCAGTCCTGTACTGGTCTGAGCCTAACATCTGAGGGCAGAAGAAACCACTGGGGGTTGGCTATTATCGTTAATAAAAACTAAATACGTAGGAAAACATTTCTGTAAACTGAATAAAAAGATACGAAAATAAAATTTAAAAAAGAAAACTACAGATGCTGTTTCTAAAACTAACTGAAATTTAAAAAAATAGTGATCTATTTATCTCTAATTACAATTTAGAATTCCTGGAGCACATTTTGTACCTTTTAAGTGCTTTGGTACATAACGAGCACTGTTCATTCATGCAGGATTCTCGAAAGATTAGACACGTAAAATAGCTCTTCAACCTTCAGTCTATCTCTGCCTGAAAATAAAATTACTTAAACTTTGACTTTGAATATATAAAAACAAAATAGAACTGTATGTTTAAATGAACAAATAGTAAAAAAATAAATAAAACCACACTGAAAACTAAAACTGAATAGGATTTCAAATGAAAATTCAAAATAATATAAAATAATACCTTAAATAAAAGTATGATACCACTGCTGGTAGTGTTACGTAAAGACAAGCTACTGTATGAGCGTTTGGGATCAAAGGAGTCCCTTTTCATAGGGATGTGGCAGCATTCATATGGTAGAGAGCTTGAGGCGGGGGGGGGCAGATATAGAGGCTCCATCTCCGATGGAGATGGGTGGGATGCTCGGGGGGGGCTGTGATCTGGACCAGGGCCACAGAGAGCCTGCAAAAAGGAGAGAACAGGATATGTTTCAATTCACTCCAAGCTCTGACAGGGATTCAGAAGCGTTTACATTGGATGGATATCAAAGCCTCACTCCATATCTGAACTAATGCTGTATCTCTGTAATAGCAGTTCTATCTAAGGGGGGGGGGTGGCTGGCATCCCCTGCCTAATTCCCCATACTCATAATGGAAGGTGGGTGGATATTCATTTTATTTATTCCTCTCATTAACACCATCGGTGCCACTTTACACTAAGGCTACTCTTATAAAGGGATTATGAATGGCTTATAAGCAGGCAATTAGGTTAATACTTTGTAAATCATTACTAGACAATTATAAAAAAGTTATATCACAGTTTTGTTCTTATTAATGAGTTACTACCATTTATAAGTGGCAAAGGGTAGCCTTATTGCGAAGTGGTACTATATTCATGTATACATTGACTTTTGTGTTTATCACACCATTGTGAATATGTATATATATATATAGCTCAGTTGTAGAAAGCCTTAGGCAGTGCCATGTAGTGACTTTTTGAGGGCCACGTGTTCAAAGCCTCTGACACATACATTAAAGGGGCACTCTGTACCTTTAAAGGGAGGCTCTTTAAATAGTTTGGACGAAAAGGGCAGGTGCTCAGCCCCACCCTCCCGGCTGCCGTATGTGTCTGGATTTCGGGCATTATGGGTAAGAAAGCATTTGCATCCTAATTACTAGCATTTTATTTATCTATCACTTATATGTCCTGCACAGTCTTGTGCTCCTGCTTGTTCCCCTGAAAGCTCTTGAAACGTGAAACGGGAAGTGTAACACAGTTGGGATGCTTCCACCTGCTTCTAATGTCACACGTCTGTGGCTCATTGTCATTAGTCGTGTAATTATGGTGCAAAGATCTGTGGCGAAAACATTGATTTGTCAGTGTTGGTGCCTTTCAGCTGAAGTGAACTGAGATCCATCTAACCTGAGTCTCTCTGATATGCTATCAGCAGAATTAATGGTTGCCAGCCCTTCATGAACAATGAAGGTGGTGGCAGCCTTCTAGGGGGGGTCCAGCTAAATGTTATTGCACTTCCTAAAGTGTGTGTGGGGGACCCCTAAAAAAATATAACATACTTGGATTGGTCTGGGTTAGGGGTCCATTATGATGCTTTCCGTTGGCAACTCCAGTTAACCTCTGCATGACTTTGGGCTATAGGTGCAAACTGGAGTATCTGGAGCACACAGGGAGAACATGCAAACTCCAGACACATGGAACCCTGGCAGAGACTCAAACCCTGCTCCCAGAAGTTTGAGGCAGTAGTGCTACTGCGGCACCATATTGTTATTACAGTAGTTACCCCAAAAAAAAAAAAAAAAACATAAAATTAATACATTCTGGATGACACCAATTCCATGTTTTAATCTGAAAAATAATTCTCTTTATTTCAGCAGAAAAAAAATAGCTACGGACATCACAGTCGACAGTAACGACATGGAGAGCCGGAGTCCCGCTGCGATGGGTGGACGCGAAAACACAAGCAATGAAACGATAGGCGGAACCAAGCATAAACACGAATGGATTCATAGTAGACATATCATTACACGGTAAACAAATAAACAAACAAATCAATAAATAAATAATAGACAAACAAACAAACAAGCAGACATTTCTTCCTTGACAAAATCGGGCTGAAATAATGACACATCAGTGGGTGGGTTGAGGACGCATCGGCACCACTGCATTCCCAGCACCATCCTCCATCTGCTCTTGAGGACTGATGTGCACCTCACCAGGAGCGCTGCCGTCCCAGTCGGAGGGAGGGGCAGCTCATTATGATCTCTGTTGGCCGGCAGTGAGGTAGTCTTTGGTAAGCTTCTGTTTAAAAAAAAAACAAAAACATTTATCCAGGTCTTCCACAAAAAAGAGCCCGTCACACTATAAAAAGTCAGGGAATCCCTGCAAAGGTCAAAGGTTAAAAAGTAGCTGTTAAGGTTGTAATTAGCTAATGAGTTCGTCCAGCCAAAGCAGGCAGATGCTTCCCGATTCTCCTCTTCTTCAGTGCTTCTGTCAGCACAGCCCATCCCCTGATTGGCTGGGATTCCCGGCTGAACGGCTGAATCAGCGGTGTTCGGTTGGTCTCCGGAGTTCTTGGCTGACTTTGAAACACAGCTCTCATTGGATCACAAAGCCAGAGTTTAAAAAAACCAATGATTTAATTTTAAAACGGCCAAGCTGAAGGTTGGCTGACTTCCAGTCATATTTACACGCTATTCGAAACACAAGAAAAATATTTTTTACAAGATATTGTGCTATATGGAATTCAGTACATACATTGTTCTTATTTTCCTCTGCTTTCACTTGCCTTTTTTAAAATTTGCCTTAATATACAGCAAAAGAGGGAGTAAGTTTGATGTCAGCTTCATATAAAGCTTTAAAAATAATTATGAAAATTACTCAGATACGGTCTGATTAGCAACAATAAGATACTTTGTCTGTAGTGCAAAAAAAAAGCTGTGAATGTTTCAGCATAATCCACCCACAGGACAAAAACCACTAATCCGATACATAGGGTTAAGACCATTGGCGGCCGTTTGGCTACAATAGTGGTGGAGGGAATAACACAACTAGTAACTTCACATGCATGCCGTTTGCATTGTCTTATTTTCTGAGCTTATTACTTCTAGAATAACCTTTATAACGATGCATAACTATGTACTCATAACTCATAAATTGCTAATCTGCCCCGAACCTGCCCAGTCCCATCCCACGTTATTCATTTTCATGGCCAGACTTCATTCATCTAGAGCGCTTCAGAGGTCACATGGGGACCGCTGTCTCCCTATCAGTGTTACCTTTGACTTCCTGGACCACAAAGGTCGCAGGACTAGCCCGAGCTTGCTGATCATAGCTCTTTTTCGCCCCGGTATTGCCAGAGATACGGGATCGTCTTTACACTCAGAGTCAGTACTATCGACTGATTTCTTCGGTGAGGTAAATCTTTGCATGACATTCAGGTATGATTCCGATCAGATACACTCTACGGGGGATGATAAGCGGATACCTCAGCCGTTTCACCTCTGAGGTAATATGAATTCCCCGTGCAGATTTAAGAATCGGTGGTCGACATCTGCCTTTCAGAAAGCATCGCTATTCCCACTCAGGAGTGGGGAAGGAGGGGGGAAGGGGGGTCACCGTAATTCGGTGCCGATTATTTGGAATCAGCTTAATGGCGCCTTCCTCTTCCTCGAAGCAGCTCCAACGCCCCTCACAGGAAGTAGGTGGGTGGCGACGGGGGGCGATCGGCCAGAGTGGGCGGGGCCTCCCCCATGCTAATGAGTTTCTCGTAACGAGTCTTGTAGGCGTCCCTCTCCTTCAGCACCCGGGAGAGCTCACACTGCAGCTGCTCCAGCTGTGGAGGGGTGGGGGGGGGGAGGTGGGCAGAGGGAGAAAAGCTATTATGTTTCACTTATTGTTATTTTTATCTTAGACATTGTGGGGGAAAATAATTCTATTTATTGATGCAAACAATTTCCGTCTTCAAATAGTGTTGCTGTAGTTCTGCCTAACAATGTTATGGTAGTATTGATTATGGGTGTCAGTGCTTCTGTCTGTCAGTGATGCTGAAGTCCCAGTCAGTGCAGCCTCTCAGCGTTTCAGCCTCTCAGTGCTGCTGTATGCTTGTTTATCCGTGTCCCTATAGCTGTGCCTGTCGCATTTGCAGCCCTGCAGCTACCTGCTGGGTCAGGACGTGCTTCTCGGACTCCAGCGCGTGCCGGTGCTGCAGCCGCTTGTAGCGGCAGGACTGCGCGTAGCCGCGGTTCTTCAGCGTGCGCCGCTTCTGCTTCAGTCGTGCCACCTCGTCCTTGCTGACGCCCCGCAGGTGCCGGTTCAGCTCACGCACCGACAGGCTGACCAGCTGCTCGTCCGAGAAGCGCTGGTCCACACCGCCCTGGTGGGATGGGGCGAGAACGACAGATTGGGGGAGGGATAGTGAAAGAAAAAGAAAGAGAGAGAGAGAGAAAGAGAGAGAGAGAGAGAGATATTTTTAAATATTTATAGGCCCTGTATTCTGCAAACTTGTCCATGATGGATGGATGGATGGATGGATGGATGGATGACCCATGACTGAAAAAATATAACTTTATAAAATCTAAAACATGTTGGGGCACACAAGACAGAGATTCAGGTTTCGGGACACACACGACTCCAGGATTAGAGTTTCGGGACACACATGACCTCGAGATTTAAGTTTCAGGACACACACAACTCTGATATTTGTATTTGCAGACTAACACGCCTGTGATATTCAGATCTTGGGACCCACACAACTCACATATTTGGATTTTGGGACCAACATGAGTCTGATATTAGGACCAAGGTCTGATATTAAGACTAGGGTTTTAGGACCAAACAAAATTCTGAAATGCAAGTTTCGGCACCAGCATGCCTCTAATTTTCCCGTCCAAAGACGACTGTGATATTCGGGTTTGGAGACAAACACAACTATGGTTTTCGAGTTTGGGGAGACACGACTCTGATATTTGGGTTTGGGGACACACGAGACTCTGATATTCGGGTTTGGGACACACACAACTCTGACATTCGGGTTTGGGACACACGAGACTCTGATATTCGGGTTTGGGACACACACAACTCTGATATTCGGGTTTGGGGACACACACAGCTCTGATATTCGGGTTTGGGGACACACACGACTCTGATACTCGGGTTTGGGGGACACACACGACTCTGACATTCGGGTTTGGGGGACACACACGACTCTGATATTCGGGTTTGGGGACACACACGACTCTGATACTTGGGTTTGGGGACACACACGACTCTGATATTCGGGTTTGGTGACACATACGACTGATATTCGGGTTTGGAGAAAAAACACAACTCTGATTTTCAGGTTTGGGGACACACACGACTCTGATACTCGGGTTTGGGGACACACACAGCTCTGATATTCGGGTTTTGGGACACACACGACTCTGATATTTGGGTTTGGGGGACACACACGACTCTGATACTCGGGTTTGGGGGACACACACGACTCTGATATTTGGGTTTGGGGGACACACACGACTCTGATATTCTGATTTTGGGACACATATGACTCTGATATTCTGCCTTTGGGACACACACGACTGATTTTCGGGTTTAGGGACACACACGACTCTGATATTCGGGTTTGGGGACACACACGACTCTGATATTCTGGTTTGGAGACACACATGACTCTGATATTCGGGTTTGGGGACACACACGACTCTGATATTCGGGTTTTGGGACACACACGACTCTGATATTCTGGTTTGGAGACACACACAACTCTGATATTTGGGTTTGGGGACACACACGACTCTGATATTTGGGTTTGGGGGACACACACGACTCAGATTTTTGGCTTTAGGGACACACAAGACTCTGATATTCGGGTTTTGGGACACACACAACTCTGATATTTGGGTTTTGGGACACACACGACTCTGATTTTTGGCTTTAGGGACACACACGACTCTGATATTCGGGTTTGGGGACACACACAACTCTGATATTTGGGTTTTGGGACACACACGACTCTGACATTCGTGTTTGGGGACACACACGACTCTGATATTTGGGTTTTGGGACACACACGACTCTGACATTCGTGTTTGGGGACACACACGACTCTGATATTCTGGTTTTGGGACACACACGACTCTGATGTTCTGGTTTGGGGACACACACGACTCTGATGTTCTGGTTTGGGGACACACACGACTCTGATATTCTGGTTTGGGGAAAAAACACAACTCTGATTTTCAGGTTTGGGGACACACACGACTGTGATATTCGGGTTTGGGGACACACACGACTCTGATATTCTGGTTTTGGGACACACGACTCTGATATTCTGGTTTTGAGACACACACGACTCTGATATTCGGGTTTTGAGACACACACGACTCTGATATTCGGGTTTGGGGGACACATGACTTATATCTGCGATTCAGGAGCCAACATAACTCTAAGATCCAAGTTTTAAATCCAGTGTGACTCTCTGATTCAGTTATTTGGACACTCATTACCAACACCTCATTCTGTTTGTCTACCAGACAAACATATGTGTTTTGGTGGAGTTTGTAGTAGTGGGGGGTGGAATGTGGACGCTTTGGCCCAAGCGGTCATAAACGCTCATGGTAATCTGACAAAGTGGCTGTGACACTGAGGAGGATTAGGAACAGCAATAATAGCTGATATAATCCGGGAAGGTCTTCCTGCCCCTCCCATAACATACAGATTAAGATGCCATCTCACATGCTCAATGCTGCCTCAGATCAAATCCATCCAGAGGCCTCAAGTTTACCCCCATAGTCTGCCAAGAACGGAGCCACAACCTGCCTTTTCTTCTCTGTACAATCCTTAGCAGTTCTTTCTGTAAACATTAGGCTGCCGTTGGACACTTGAATTTGGATTGTAATAACCGGCACAAACAGAACAGTGGATTATGGTAGTTGTGAGTGACACGTTTCATGAGATGTACAGGCTTGCTCTGCCAAAGGAACCTTCACCCAAGTCAGACGACTCGCAAAAACAGCCCTGCCTACGTGAAAATCTCTGTGCTGAGTCTGTGTGATTATCACCTACTCTTTCTCTCCTCAGAAGCTTTGCCTCTTCATTTCTTAGCCTCATCACTCCTCTTTACCTCTGTTTATCGCTCCTTAAACCCTTTCCATGGTCTTCCTTCTTGCCCTTGCAAGATTGACCCCCCCATGTGTGGGAATACCTGGTCAAGTTGGAGATGGTGGTGATGATTATGGAGGCCATGTCCTTGGTGTGGATGGTGATGGAGGTGGTGGAGATGGTGGTGGGGTGGCTGATGATGATGCCGGGTCTGGGGGCCAGGCGGGTGGGGGTAGGTGCCCATGGAGCAGGACGGGGCATTGGGGAATGAGGAAGCCCCAGGGGGCAGGAGAAAGTTCTGCCGCTGGCCTCCGTCAGGTATCTTGGGCAGGGTGGAGGCATCCTCTCCACTGTCCTTGCTTGTGTCATGGTAGCCGTTGCTGCAACTCTGGCCCACGCCGGGGAACTGGATGGTGGATGCAAGGTGAGAGAGATAGATGAGGCTGAGAAAGATGGAGGTCGGAGGAATCAACAGAGGGACATCAGTCTTAAAATTCACTGCAGAATCATTCTGGATAAATTTATTCACTGCAGAAAAAAAACATTCAGAAAAATTCTAAGACATCAAAAAATTCTGAAACATCTGAAAGATTCTGAAACGTAGAACAGCATGTGACCTAAATACAAAGAAAGGGTCGCCACCACAGAGGATATCAATGAAAAATGCCCGACGAAAAAGGTATAAAACAATGAAAGTGATATGATGCAGGGTTCCAGTGGAAAACACTCTATTTTCATTCACAGGTTCCAGCCCGTTTGGACGGCAACGGCGGAGGTTCACGCTGAGATTTGTTTTCTGAATCCTGCTGGCCTTCGTATTGGAAACGACTGAAGGCGAAATATCCTCCTGGGAGGGAGGAATCCTCCGATCTGGCGGGCAGACACACGGAAGCCGGCCGGGGCCTTAGGGACCGGCCTTTGGTGGCAGAACATTAATCGGTGGAGACGTTTGTGGCAGATAGACGTACACACATGGATAAAGAGGAGTGTACACAATGGTGGGCCACAAGTGCCCAGCTGTAAGCTAATTGGCCTGTCACTCAAAACATATCATTGGCTGATGATAAGGCTGTGTCCCTCTGTGGGAATTATGGTATTTCTTTCTTAGAAAAACCCTAGAATGGCCCCCTGCTGTCTCACCTGGGAACTCACCGCAGCCGCCGCCGAATTCAGCAGCGCCTCCACAGCGTCTTCGCAGCCGAGGTAGGAGCCCACGGGACCCCGGTCGGCCCCGACCCCCAGGGCCTCAGCTCCGCCCAGCTGCTGCTGTAGGGCTGCCAGCCATATGAGGTCCTCCAGGGAGGCGGGGTTCGAGACGGGGTGCAAGGCGGGGACATGGCCTCCGGTGGGAGCGTGGGGGAAGGGCAGCGAGGGGGTGGATGAGGAGGAGGAGGAGGAGGAGGAAGAGGAGGAGAAGGAGGCTGGGGGCTGGGCATCGCTCAGCGTCGGCGACGGGGGCAGTGAGTTGTACGGGCTGGAGCTCACACTGGAGTCTGATGGGTAGGCGTGGCTTGGGCTGCCGCCACCAGGGGGAGCATCACGGGGGGGCGCCTTGGAGTGCAGGCAGGGGGGGGGCGTGTCACCTTTGACCTCGAACTTGAGCAGGTCGAAGTCGTTGAGGTACTCCATGGCCAGGGGGCTGGGGGGGAGCGAGGACACAGGCAGAGATGAGGATGCCATGCTTGTTCCTCACAGGAAGTGGGAGGGGGGGTCTCCCTCGGTGTCCCTGAAAGAAAAGGTGGGCTGTAAGATATGACATAGGAAAGGGGGTGGGCAAAAATCATAGAATCAGCCCTGATGATAAATAGTAATGTATTATAAAATCTATTTCTTGTTGACCAACGACACCTGTTTTGATTTCCTGTGTTTTCCCTGTAGCTGGTGCAGAAATGGCCGACTGTTTTTTTGGGGTTTTTTTTACAGCATCATCTACCAATAAAGCGAAGAAATTTCAACTACTGTAAGTCCAAACAGGCAGAGCTATATCACACCCGTCTCTGCATCTGCAAAGAGACCCAAATGATGGCCAGCACGCAGGTATTTACGCAAAAGTCACCAAATGATTCAGCGCTTAATCTCATGACGGTCCACGTGGACGGGTGGGGAGCGCAAATCAGCTTACATCTCCCCTTCCTGTCCGAGCGAAATTCGCTAACAATAATTATTCTATTTGTAACTTCCTGTATCTGTGTTGGCAGCATTCGACTTTTTCTTGTAATGCCAATAACACCAATTGAATTTTATTGAACTGAGATGGGGGGGGGTGGTTAATGACAGGGTGTGGGGGGAGCAACATGTATTGATAGGGTTTAAAGCAATATGAATTTACAAATCAATTGGGTTAAAATAAAAATGTATATTAAGATTTTTTATATATAGCCAATGCTTAAATCCAACGTCATGTACAATTGAGATTCAGGGATTCGCGCCGACAACATTCCGATCGCAGATGCAGCTTCCTAATCTACTGACTCTCTCAGTGCATTTTGAAAAAATTCCATATAAGAGTAGCTACTGGTGTCTGGTGACGCAAGAAACCGATAATCCTGGACCAGGACAGAAGCTTTGGAAGAGGGTAAGTGAGCGGGCACCCTGGACGTCTGCCATGAGTTTGACCTGCTCCCTTGGTCCATAGCTCTATGCCGTCGTGCTTTGGGAATGTGGCGGTTATTAAGGGCAGGATTGGTCTCCTGTTGAGACCCAAAACACCTACTACCCCAGCAGCATGCGAGATGGATACCTGCATTTAATTAAATTTCCAATATTCCGATACAGCTATTCATCAAGTATTGTGTTAAGGTGTGGATAAAGTTACACCAAACTGAGTTTAGCTATAAGCTGCTCCATTTCTATCCGGCCCGATCAAAATCCAGTTCAGGTAACTGCTCTCCCGGACTCCAGTGAAGAAAACGTAGATGCTTGTGTCCATAATTGTTTGGTTTATATGATCTCATCCCTGCATCTGCTTGGTTTCGAATGATCTCTCAAATTCTTCCCAGGGTCAAAAGGCTCTAGTACCTTTTAAATTGCATCTGATGGGGATAGATGACTGTCAACACACATGGAAAGACTTAAAGCTGGAAGTACATAAAAGCCATTTAGCATGATGTACGTAAAACGCAGCTGAACTCTGACGAATTGTTTAATATCTTACGCAGATTTGCACGCAGAAATATTTTCATGCTAAAATTAGTACACTAAGATATCCATAATTCATTGCATGTTATATCGAGGTCATCTTTATGGTATTAGAGATTATGGTTACATGCATCAAAATACAACTGTGCATTCTAGAAATGGGCTCCTGAGTCTAACCTCGGTTGGAAAGCTTAATTGTAATTGTAATTAAGTAATTTTAAGGTATGCAGTTTAAATTTTATTTCCTTGTTTATCATCTAGGTCATGAAATGCGATATAAATAGATAACAATGCATACATTGCATAAAAATATATTATCCACATAAATGCTGATAACTTAAAAGAATAACATTGTTTAATGCTGCTAAAAGAAGATGTGATTGGACTCCGACACTCTGACTGACCATCTTGATAAGGTACCTCTGTATTATGTATATTATTTTCCAATGCATTTTCTTATTTCTTTCTGTTTAATTTAATTTATCTTTTATAAGATGTATATCATTGGTGGGAACCGCACAATTTTGTTGCACATGTACAATGAAAACAAAGGTATTCTATTGCGACGCAACAAAACTTTACCTATTCACATGCCAGGAAAAAAGCAAATAACATGTACATTTTGTCAGTGTTTTTCTGTTTAGCTGTTTTGCACCTTGAATCGTTTAAACCACAGACACTTTCCTGACAGAAGAGGCTGTCGCTTAAAGGAAGCATGGCACGCGCTTCTAAACGAATCTGATTCTCTCTCCTCACGATATTCTGCAGCAATTAAAGCCCACACACTAAACATCCTTAACTACGCTTCCCAGAACACCCCCCCCCCNAAATGCTTCTGCTCTGATTATTCTGCCAGCACAGAGGAAAGAAGCTTTAAAAAGTTTACCTCTATTTATATAATCCCCTGTATTTATACTTTAAATAAAACCAAGTGGATAAACAAAATAAATTGACCATTTGCAACAAAACCACACCAAGAGTGAAGACTTAACAAATAAACACATAAACCAACCAACCTGAACATGAAAACAAAAAGCACTCTCTTTGATATCTGCATCATTATGATCAATGATGATCAATACTGATCATTATATATACATATCTTATATAGCACAACTATTTACTCAGTGCCTGACTAAACTCCTAACTATTCCTAATCATTCTCCCCCCTGGCATCTCTGCCCCCCACGCTGCCCACCCCCTCCAGCCATCTCAAAGGCTGCCTCCCAAACTGTAAACGGTGCAAGGCAGCCCATCCTTACCTCTGTCCAGCCTATTGACTGTCCCGCCTCAGATGACCCGTCTCTGAGTTTGTGACCGCCGTGAGGAGGAGAGGGGGTATGGCTGACTCTCTGTCTGCCTGTTATGTTCTCTCTCTCCCTCTCTCTCTTCTCCCTTCACTCTCTCTCCCTCCCTCATGCAAATTTCCCTCTCTGTCTCCCAGCTATCCTAACTGCCCCCACCCTGTTTGCTCTGTCTAATTCCCTCTATCCATTCCCCACCTCTACTCTGCTCCCCATATTTTTCTATCTCCTGCTCGATCTACATCTGTTTCATTTCTCCCCCATTGGTTGCTCAGAGAGTCACAGCCTCCAGCGTTCTAATTAAACGACACATAGTATCTGAGACTCGCCGAGTTGTGATGGAAATGATTGTGGTTTACTTGTACAGCCTTGGATGGAATTCCGACTGAATCCACTCAGGTTGTGATCTGTCGTTAAGATGTTCCTTCAGAAGTCTCTGGAGCAGGGAGGTGTGCAGACCTCAGTGACTGGGGGGCTAAGGGAGTTCAAAGAGGGTCCTCAAAGTATTTGGAGATATACCAAGGATGTACAAGAAGCAATGGCGGAATGGAGAAGACAGCCAGTGTGTGTGTGTGTGTGTGTGTGTGTGTGTGTGTCTATGAGTGGCCGGTGGGCAGCATTCACTGCCGAAACTGGCTCAGGGGCTCCACCTCAAGTAGTGGACCGCCAGCAGAAATTCGCCAAACTGCCAACTTCGTCATCATCTCAGCAAGAAATGGCATCGTCCCAGCCTATGACAATCTCCCGCCTGCGGTGTGGGTGACCGGGGCTGTCGGTGACTGTGTTACTGCTGCTGTTATGAAACGCTATGGTAAATATTATTGTTGTCCTGCCGGATTTGTCATAACACGTATATAGACTGACAGGGGATGTAAAAAACTAATGTATTATCAGGCCGTGTAAGCTACTGTACACTGCCACCTGGTGGCCACTTTTAATAATCACAGGTTAGGTGCAGAAAGTGTAACTATCAATGTGAAAATAAGAAGACAGGTTCATATTGCTTCTGTGCAAAACTCCCCGGACTAACTATGAGGCCTTAGACGCTGTTTCATTCCACCTCTTCTCCTCAGCATCACTCCTTTCCATCACAGACAGACAGACAGACAGACAGACAGACAGACAGACAGACAGACAGACAGACAGACAGACAGACAGACAGACAGACAGACAGACAGACAGACACACACTGGCCTGTCTCCCCTCACTGTCCCAACCCCCCTTGCCTTTACTGCTCAGTCATACCACTGTCCTTCTGTCAACCTTCTACCTTCTGTTGTGTTTGCCTCTGTCTATCAGTGTATACCTCAGTCTGGAACATCTCCATTTCTACATGTTGTAGCACAGTTCTGAACTATTTTTTTCTCAGGGGGGCAAATTCCATCAGCAACGCCAGGGTCCACTGCGTCCGAAAATCCACATACGATAATATTTGCCAAGCAGGAGGCTCCCCTGAAGACACAATTTGCTGGGGTGGCGATCGATCGCATGGTCCGGATTCAATCGTCCTGTAGTTGGTGACCACTGCTGTAGGAGAATATTCATGTTTAAGGAACATTAATATGTTGCAAAAAGTGTTTTAGTCTCGAGAATCTCATTCGCTGCCCCCCCCCACCCCAAACCGCCAGGATCCATTCCCTCCCCTGTCGCTGATAGTTAAACCCCAGGAATGGAATAATTACCGTTTTAGCTCTTTTAATTTTGCTAAGCAGAGAAATGCGCAATGGGCACTTTTTAATAATACTAAGTGGGTAAACTCATTAAGCCTGAGTCTACGGGTGCCTTAATTATGTCTCCGTGAGGAATCAGGGTGTTAATATTGTCCGTGTTGATCTGATTTACAGGGGATGAACATACAGCACGCGTCCACTCACAGATTTAGTCGTGTTATATTGATGGGACTTCATGTGATGTAGAAAATGAGGACATCGCTTTTTATAATTATGAGTTATGATTTATTTATGTGTTCAGCAGGGTTGCCCAGCAGAATCTTATTGATTCCTCTCTTGAGCCTCTTTGTTATTCCCATGGAGTACAGCATCCATACCATCCAAAGGGACATGTCATTCAAACTGCTCTTCCCATAAGTCCATATGTCCATGTAGATTACAGTGTGTGCCTTTGAATTGGAGGAATGGTTACCAGTGGCTGATGTATGGAGTGTTGGTGGAAGCTCATGTGGATCAGGCTTTGCCCTTGTTCCTTACCCATGTTCCTCACTCTGGTGGGTGAGCTTTTGGCAGTGAAGTTGGTGCTCTGTTAAGTCGGCGTCCCCGCAAAAGGTGCATTAGGCAGCTGAGTGTCGCTGAGCGGGTTGACCGGCGCTGGATGGATGGAGACATGTGCTTAACAGACACACTCCCATCGCGATGAACGCACACCAGTGTCACATACACCACTTTACACCAGCTGAGTAACAGCTGAGTATGGCTCTGACCAAGTAGAGGTCAAGCACCTTGACCTGGGCAAGTCAAAACACCAGGACCCAGCGGGGGCCTTTCCCACTAAGGCTCCTGCCCTCCACCACTGCGCCAGGTCGGACATCTGAGCCACTGCCCCCCCCCCCCCCCCTATCCATTGGAGCGCCGCAGTGCAACACGACCTCTGGGGGAACGAGGGCAGGAACAGCTTCATTTCACATCAATCCCTGCGCTGGTGATAGAGGGGGGGGGGGCCGGGGCAGTGAATAGCCCGTCCATGCTGCGTCAATGCTGGCTGAATAACTCACACAGTATGTGTGTGTGTGTGGGGAGGGGGGGGCAGTGAATAGCCCATCCATAGTGTGTCAGTGCTGATTGTACAACTCACGCAGTGGGGGGCAGTGAATAGCCCGTCCATAGTGTGTCAGTGATGCCTGTATAACTCACGCATTGGGGGGCAGTGAATAGCCCATCCATAGTGTGTCAGTGATGCCTGTATAACTCACGCAGTGGGGGGCAGTGAATAGCCCGTCCATAGTGTGTCAGTGATGCCTGTATAACTCACGCAGTGGGGGGCAGTGAATAGCCCGTCCATAGTGTGTCAGTGATGCCTGTATAACTTACGCAGTGGGGGGGGGGCAGTGAATAGCCCATCCATAGTGTGTCATAATGAATTCTGCATTTATTATTGTTCATGATAATAACAATAATAATAATTAACATAATGATATTCTACCACTCACTGTCAAAGTAAACCTTTATAGGTATTAATTGGTTCCCCTCCCAAATCACACAGAGGCCCCCATCTCAAGGTCACATCTAGATCCCCAGAAGCCCCACCCCCCCATGCCGGTTATTAATCGCCACCTGTATAACGTTAATTAAGAGTTTATAATCAGCTGAACGCCGTGGTGAATATTAATCGGGCTCAGCCCCTGCTGCCTTGGCTCCTTAAACAGATCAACAGCTGTACAGTTGTACTTATGAATGAGTTAATCATATGTAACAGGCTTGCGTGGTAAATGACGCCCCCCAGGTCTCGTTAGTGATAAGCTTCTACACAGTCTTTGTTCATTATTGCCCAGCGCAGGCCTGCGCATGATGACTGGTGACGGTTTATTAGCATTAATTAATCGGCTTCTTAACTGAGGCAGTTAGGCAGAGGTCAAAATTAGGTCATGGCCTCAGGCAAAGTCTAGATTTAAGGGAGACAAAGGGGGAAGGGGGGCTAAAACTTCAAGCATGAAACGGCAAATGAAATTCATAAGAAAAAAATTGCAAATAGTGGAATTCAATCTATTTATAAATCTCAGGGATCGTGTACACGTCCATCCATCCATGACTGCTTATCCAGAGCACAATATCCAACACTTTGATCAATGACTGGTCCTGTTGCACTGAGAGCAGTGAGAGCTTCAAACATGGAAAGAGTGAGGAGATTTGAGGACAAAAGGGCCTCGGAGATGGAGAGAGTGAGGACATCTAAGGACGTCAAGGACAGTGGCTTCACAGAAGGCAGGACTATTTTTCAGGCCATGTGGGGGCAGATGGCCTTGGCCTCACCCCAAACTCTCCCTCCCCCACAAGATACATATCCTAATCCAGACCAAGTCCCTCAAAAACGCTGGACTTACACCCATCTCCTTCCTTTGCTGTCTCCATCTCTCTCACCATTTGCTTTATGCCTAATCTCCATGATATTGAAAAAAAAAATCAATCCAATTCACAACCAGAGCTGTTAAGCTTAACAGCTTCTCTTAAAGCAGATCACTCAAACAGAAAGGCTTGTGGGCTCTGAGCAACAGGTGGTATTTTCAGATTATCACTGAAAATTAAACTTTGCTAGTTCTGAGAGTTGTGCCACACTCAGGAACTGGATAAACAAAGCCCATCTTGCACAGAACTTTCTAAATATCAGCTTGGGATTTGCTGTCTATGATGCTTTGAGCCTGGGATACATTGTCTGTGGTTCTCCAAGCCTGGGATATGCTGTCTATGATACTCTGATCTTGAGATACACTTTCTGTGATGCTCTGAGCTTTGGATACACTGTCTGTGATGCTCTGAGCTTGGGATACACTGTCTGTGATGCTCTGAGCTTGGGATACACTGTCTGTGATGCTCTGAGCTTGGAATACACTGTCTGTG